CTCTGCAGGCCACGCAATCTCCCCCAGCGCTACTTCGAGACGCGCATCGACGGCCCGGTCGCTCTGGAGGAAGAGGACGTGCCGGGGCGCTCCCGCTCGCCCGCCGTCCGCTGGCTTGGTCGTTGACGGGCCGAGCGGGGCAGTAAGGCCGATGGGCGCCTCAAGAGCCGTGAGAGGGGTGGACGCCACATCTTGGGGGTCATCGGTCTTGACAGACTCCTTGGTTGGGACTCGAGAAGCGTTCGCGACTCCGTCGTTCGCGCGCCACCCGCCGCCGGCGTGCATGCATGAGCCGGGAGGAAGAGGGGATCCGACGCGGACTGCTGGGCTTGAGACGCTCTGGCGCGCGGTCGCCGCGGCGAGGATGCTCGTGAAGGTGCAGAACATGAACTGCGGCGGATGCTCGTGAAGGTGCGGACCAACGGACTGGGGACTGACTGGGGGGGGACGTGAGATGATTGGGCGATAGAAGGGGGACAATTTCCGGACCGGAATTTTTTTTTGAACAAGTGTTTCCTCGGAGAACGCGCTCGGATTAACACGACGCATTCCCAGGTCGCAGGGTGTGCCACGAAGTGACTGTGTGGCACACGAGATGGGTTCCATTCTTCGAATACCCATAGTTGACTGGGAAGTTGACTGGTTGCCGTGCAGCTGCGTCGGCTCGGTAGGCGGCGTCGAGGGCGTCTCTGGCCGCTGTGATGTCGCTGTCGGTGCCGCCTCCGGCCCGGACGCGGTCGACGGTGGTTTTGAGGGTATGCTCGGCGTCGGTGAGGGCGGCGGCGGCGTTGGCGATGGCCACATCTCGGGCGTGACGATCCTCGGGCAGCGGAGAGGTGAGGCACAAGGCTTTGAGGTCGGCGTCGAGCTGCTGCAACCGAGGGTGTTCGACGCCCCACGAGAATGCGGTGAAGTAGTTAAGGAGGCACTTGGAGCCACGTTCGCTGTCGGTGATGATGCGCACAAAGTCGTAGTCGACGTGGTTAGGGCCTCCAGCTCTGGTGACGTTGCAGCTGCGAACGAACCTGGCAAAGATCTCTGGCTTGATCTTGTACTTGCCCGCCTCATATCCGGGTTCGTCGCGCATCGCATGTTCGGGTGGTGCCTTGGCCTGCGGAGTTTTGTTGATGAATTCGTCGACGACCTTTCGGCTCCGGCCGTCTGCAGGTTTGAGCGAGTTGAAGCAGTTCCATGCCTTCTTCCACTCGCGTCGGTTCGCCCAGTAGAAAGCGGACCTGGTCTGTTCCTCCAGCGTCTGCGTCCGGTTGGAGTCGGAGACGGGCCGGTCTCCCTCTTGTTCGGGCCGTGCGGGGGGAGCGGAGGCGGAGAGGACGAGCTCGCGAAACAAAGCCATGAAACCGTCGGGGGACGAAGCACAGGCGGCGGCCCGTTGCACCATCTGGTCGTACGTGTACTTCTGCGTGCCGACGGGACGGCAGGTGATGAGCACGGCGGACACGACGGCGTAGCAGGCTCCGCGTGCACCATCGAGGGTGCCCGGCTTCCGCGGCGTGCTGGCAAACGCCTCCATGCCAAAGAGGATTGGTGCCCGGCACAGGTCTCGGTACTCCTCACTCGCAGGGAACTCCTGGTGATGCAGTTGCAATCGTTTGAAGGCCTCGAGCGAGATGCCGTCGGTGAAGCAAAGGTTAAAGTCGGCGGCCGGAGTCGTGTTGAGTTTGAGAGGGTCGATGGCGGCCGAGGGGTTGCCGCACGCGTTGTGTAGCGCGGCGACCGCTGCTCTCTGTATGTGGGCGGCGCCGGGGACGTCGTCGAGGTGGCGGGCCTGCTGGATCCGGCTGGCGGCGGTGTTGGTGCCGACGGCGTGGGTGACGTACGAGCCGGGGGACCGGGGAGGGGCGTGCTCACGGACCCAAGCGGCGGCGGCGTTGCAGTCGGCCGGCGGTCGGGGTGTGTCCGGCGCCCGCGCGTTGTAGGTGTTGAGGCTGGTTCTTGTTGCTGACGTAATGATTGAAGAGGTTGCTCCGTTGGTTGCCTCCCGTGACGATGACGCACGCAAGTATGTGAGAGAGAGAGAGAGAGAGTACGTACGTGAGAGATAGTCTCCTGTCACGCCAAGTTTGCGCGTCGGGCGTTCTGGAAGAATGCAGCCCGATATGTATATGGCCTCTGCCGTCAGTTCCTCCGCCTCGGTCGCGCCCTCGAGAGAGGGGGCTCTCCCCTGCCCGCCCGAGGAGGAGCTGCTTGGCTGCCCGCCGACCTGCCAGCACGACTGCCGCGCTGCGGTCTGTGCCGCTCACTGCTGCAGCTACTGGCCCGACCACCACGCGCAGGCTTTCACCGACCCGCCGCGTCCCGCCGCATGCCCCACGCACCGCCCAGACAGCCTCCTACTGCTGCTTGGAATCTTCTCGATGGCTGCCCCTGGGGCGGAGGCGCGGCGCGGCGACATTCGGTCTCTCGTGCTTGCCCCCGCTGGGCCGGCAGGGCGCATGTCCCATGTCTTTGTGCTCGGGGAATCGGGCGGCAACGGGACGAGCGCAGCAGAGGTTGCGCTGGCTCAGGAGGAGCGCCGCCATGGGGACCTGCTGCTGCTGCGCGTGCGCGAGAACATGAACGCGGGCAAGACGCTCGAGTACTTTGTCGCGGTGGCGCACTGCTGGCGTGCCGCCGCCGCCCCTTCGTGGGTGGCAAAGGCGGACGACGACTCGTTTGTCAATCTCCCCGTGCTACTGCGAGCGCTCGAGCCGCTTCGTGGCGTGCGCGACGGGCAGTTTGGCGTGCGGATCGTCGGGGCCGACCGGGTCGTCCTCGACTGCGCATACAATAGCCGGGAGCTCGCGCCGATGTGCGGTAGCTGCGAGCCAGAGAACGGCGCCTACCGCGTGGACGCGGCCGACCGCCGCTTCTGCAAGTGGGCGGGCCAGCTGTACGGCTTCACGACGGACGTGGTTCGGTGGATCGCCGCGAGCGCGCCCGCTCTCCGCGCGAGCCGCATGGGCCTGTACGCCGGCCACGAGGATGCCGTGGCGGCACGCTGGCTGCGGCTCGGCCACCGCGGCAAGAGGGCGTTTGCCATCGGCCCGTCGATCAGCCTGCCGGGTTGGAACCGGCTGTGGGCGAACGGCAGCCGCAGGGCCGGCTTCGAGCCGAGCTGCCAGAACTGGTGGCAGCGCGCCGTGGTGGTCCACCGCCTCAAGCTCGACCGCGACCTGCGGATGGTGGCCGCCTGCGTGGAGCGGCACGGCAGGGGGCGCCGACCACTGCGCTCCTGCGCCGCGCCCGCGCGGAGCGGCGAGCGGCGAGCGGCGGTGGAGGAGAGGGAGGCGCTACCAAGGCGGGTGCCAGGCGCGCGGTACGTGAGGAGAGTAGGGGACTGGGTGTGGAGAGAGAAGGCACGGGTGGGCAAGTCCTCATTCGGACATTGAGAGCGAGGCGGCAATCAAATTGGGGCGCTGGGGTCCGATCCTCACCTGCTTTTTATCAACAAACCTGAGACGCCCTCAAAATTCCCCTTTGGCGCTTCGCCCACAGCCGATCGAGGCGGCCAACTCGGGCCACAACGCGGGCGGATCCACGCCTTCTGCTGCGGGAAGCACAGCTGATCATGCATCGAATCGTGCAACCGCTCGCCTGCGTGCATCAGCGCCATCGCAGCAGTCCCAGCAGGAGCCCCGTCACAACGCCCCCGACCCAGCCAACCATCACTGCCTCGGACGTGCTCAGTCGCCTCCTTATTCCTCCCTCTCTGGCCACCAACCCCACGGCACCGGGCTCAAGCTCCATTGCCGCGGCCGCTGCCGATCCCGCCCCGCCACCGCCCAGCTCGAGCGGCTCCAGGTGAATCTTGATGGAGTTGCCCAGGAGGCGCAGGTCAGCCTTGCCCAGAACAGAGTCGATGAGCGCCGGCACCAGCGCGTAGAGGTTGCGAAGCAGCGCCCTCTCCACCGCGTCCGGGATCCAAAGGATGTTGTGCGCAGAGAGGTGGTCGTCAACGAGCTCGTCGATCACGGCGCTGTTTCCGGTCAGCATCTTTTCCACGACGTCCTCCGGCTTCCAGTTGGAGTTTGCCTTGAAGTTGAGCGACAGCTCATGACCCGAGATTCCCACACTCGTCGACCTCGCAAAGGCCTGAAGGGCTTGGAAGATGATTGCGAGCGCTGCGAGATACACGCGCCGCTCGAGGGCGTCGGGGATCACCCAGATGTTGAGCTCCTTGTTGGAAAGCATCAGGTCAACCACCTGCTCCAGGCGGGCCACATCGATGGTCTCGGCTGCCATGAGGGCGACCACCGCATCGGCGTCAAAGTCCTCTTTCAGCTCCAGGATCATTTGGTGCTTGAGAAAGCTCACACCGTGGAGGTAGCTTGTCCACTTCAGGAGGTACTTGTACGTGACGCCGATGGCGAAGCTGTACACCTCCCTCTCGATGGTATCCGGGAGATAGGCAATGTTGAGCGTCTGGTGCCGGAGGATGGCGTGGACCATATCGCGGGTGTGTGCCTCGACCATCGAGCGGCGATCGAGCGGGTTCTCCGTGCCTTCCGATGCGGGCAGCACTCTGTGCCTGGTCACCGCGCATGCGCCACAGCCGAGGGCAACTACCGCAGCTCGCGGTCTGAGCAGTCGCATGTATGAGAGGCCAACGCGACAACGTCCGTCTTACAAACCCAGGCCCACGCACCGGGCATCGCCAACGCCCTAGCGCCGGAATCACAGGCTTTACGAACACTAGAGGGCCCCTGCGCGGGCCCCGCCCCCCCCTCGAGGGGGGCGGGGCCCTTGCGACGGAGAAGAGGCCAGAATCGTACAGCAGCAGACGACGGACAACGAAGCAGTAGAGGCTTGCTAGGAAAATTGTAAGGCCGCCGTCAGCCGGGTTTAGATGTGTCTTTTTCGCGGGGAGGTGCCTTAGTGCCAGGTGCACCACATGTCTATGAGGTGTAATAAGCAAGACAGCGGCAGACAACGCGTCGCCACACACACAGAAGCACGCATATACTATGATACCCTCTCTCCTCTCTGTATAGCGCCGACGCCTAGTCGGAGGGCAACCAAGACGCGTCGCTGTCCTCGTCGGAGGCGCCGCCGACATCGGAGTCGATGCTGGAGGAGTCGCCGTCGGTGTAGGACGCATCGGAGGAGTCGTCGGCCCCGAGCGTCTCGCAGTGAGAGGCGTCCTCGTCGGAAGAGTTGCCCGCCTCGAGAGAGTTGCCCGTCTCGACGGCCGATGTCGACGGCCCGCACACATCACCCGCCGCCCGTATGGCCTGCTCGAGGAGGGAAGACTCCGACTCACTGTCGGACGCCGCCTCCGCGGCCGCCGAGCCGCACTCGTCACCAGAGCTCCCGCCCTCGTCGCTCTCGGGAACAATGCACGAGCGGAAGCCCATACCGCGAGTGCGGGGACGACGGGCTATGAGTCACATGCTAGGCTTGGCGGCGGCGGCACGCCCGTTGCGGACAGGGCGCGATGCGGACGCCGGCGAGGCGGCGGCGGCGGCCCGCTTGGACGGGGTCAAGCTCTTGGCCTCCTTGCTCCCCCCCTCGGCCGCCACGCCGGAGGGCACCTCTTTGGACGGTGATGCGGAGGACGAGGAGGAGGAGGAGGAGGAGGCAGAGCCGCCTGCGGAGGGGAGGGGACCGAGGCCCGCCTGGAGGATGGCCAGCTCCTTCTGGATGGTGGTGGAGACCTTGCCAAACGCATCCAGCTTCGTCGCGAGCGCCTTCAGGCGAGCGCTCGTAGAGGTGGAACTCGAAGATCCGCCAGCATGCCTCGCAGGCACCGATGCACCGAGCGTCCTGAAAGTTCTGTATCTCGTCGACATCGATCGCGTCGTTCTCACCGCAGACGCAAGTCATCGCACGGTCGGGGCCCTTGTACACGTATTTGTAGAGGTACTTTACAGAGCTGACGGAGCAGCACACCTCGACGTTGATGTGCGCATCGTACTTTAGCAACAGGTACGGGCTGTAAGGGACGACCCATCGGTTGTCGACAACGCGGCCCTTGTGGATTACGGGCGGCGCTCCAACCTCTGGAGGACGTCGACGGTATTCGGGGTAGATCTCCATCTCGCTGAAAGTCGTGGCCGCATGAAACGGCTTCGGGAAGCCTTTAGTGCAGAAACCCTCCTTGCTGAGGCACGGCGCTCCACGGTTACGAGTGCAGTCATTGTGCACCATATGTTCCAGCACGGCCTCGTGCAGCCTGACGGCTTGATCGTACGCTTTGGCCTGCTCGTCGTCATTCGGGCGAGGGCCAACTGGCAGCGGCGGTATCTCTGCGAGAACGGTGTCGTCAATCTCGTCGGCACAGGTGAGGCGGAACTGGCTATCGAGGATACACAAGATGTGACCGTGCGGCAGCCCACGCTTTTGAAACTCGGTGACGGAAAGGTTCGCATTGGCGGTCCCAAAGATCGCTTTTTCTTTGATGTCGGTCAGCAGTTCATTCAGCTTTTGACGAAAGACTCGGCTCACAATGTCTGGTCGATCGCACGCCTTCAGCCCCTTGGGGAGGGAGTTGACAATCTCGGGCCAGTTAGGATTGCACGTGAACGTGATGAAGAAGGATGGTTTACCGTGCGCGCGAACGACCGCCATCGCATCTTGATAGCGTCGGTGCAGATCTCGATTGCCGCCGACGAAGCTGCTGCTGAGAACGACACGCTTGCCGATTTTCTTGCCAGCGTCCCCCGCTGCGACATGGTCGACGAGGTTTTGGTAGAGCACGGCCCGAATAGTTGTCTGATTGTGACGCTGCCATTGCAGCCTGCAATGCTCCGCCTTTGCAAAGGCGCTGCATACGTACTCCTAAAGACACGGACGTGCGATCGTGAGCAATGTAGGGCAGCACGCGCTCTCGGGGTATGCCTCTCGTTTACGTGCCTGAAAGAGACGGCACGACATGAGGAGCGAGTTTGCCCCGTCTTGGTCGACACGCCACTGCACACGATAGGCGTAGAAGTCGCAGGGACTGATGGACTGCTTGCTGCCAGTCTTGGTCATCCCGATCTTCCATCCGTCGTCGCCAGCTGGATGGAGGATGACGAAGTGAAGTGGGTCGTACCCTCGATGTGTCTCGTTGATTGTCTTGAGCGCGCCCCCCCGCATCTTGACCACGATATCTCGGCCATTCTCATCGGCGTCGGGCTTGAGAACAGCCACCTCGGCGTAATCTTGGCGGCCGTAGGTTTTGTCACTGGGCGATAGTCGATCTGTTGGCATTCGCTCATGGACGGGTCATTGATGTACGTCTGAACGAATTGTTTCGACTGGTTGTCATTCGGAGCGAGGGACCCGATGAAGTGGTGGACTCTGCCCTGGATCACGACGGTCGGACTCCACGTGCTTGAGCCCGGAAGATTGTTCGGCCGCTTGACCTTTTGCGAGGCGAATGCTAGCGTGTTGTTGATGGCGCGGGCAAACTTCCGAAGTGTCTTGCCGACGACGCCATCAGCATCGTGCCACAATTTGGTGACTTCCGGACAGGGCGTGCAGATGGGCGGGAGCGAGACCTTGTTCTTCTTGCAGCATATGGAGCCGTAAGTAGGGTTGGACGAGGTGACCTCGCCCGGAAGCAGCTCGGCGCCACAGCCAGCGCACGTGGTGGAGGTGCTCTGCTCTTCCTTTGTGAGAGCGAGCCTACGGTATGAAGAAAGTAGCACGTGTTAGGATCGCGCAGAGTGCGGCCGGGGCGGCGTCACGGCGGGCGCACTTGCCAACGTCGCTCCCCTCGACCAGCAGCGAGCCGTTGAGTATTTCGGAAGCGCGGCGGGCGGGGCGAGCGGCAGCCTGCCTCGCCCTTTTGGCCTGCCGCCGTGTGCGGTCGTCTCGCTTTCCCTTGTCGCGCTGCTCGGGGCTCTCTCGCTTCCTCTGCGCTCGGGACTGGTTTGCGGCCTGGCTGAGCTCGGTTGGACGATTGTTTGGCGAGCGGACGCGATCGTTGAAGAGCCGGCTCCTCGCCTGACCGAGCGTCTCCCTCGGGTTGTCCCTGGCTCGCTCCTCGGCGTCGTCCGTGAGGGACACGCCACGCTCGGCAAAGTACTGGTCCTCCATGTATTGTGCCCACCCAGCCGTGTCGCCAGGAAAGGTGTCGAGGTACTCCTTCCTCGTGAGGATGTGGCGGCCGCGGACGACGGTGCGGCTGAAGGGGACGGTTGCCGTGCCGCCGACCGACGGCAGGCAACCGAGGAATACAGCAAAAAGGAGAAGCCCGCACGCCATCCCGCAGTTCGTACTAAGCTGCCCAAACCACCCAACAGACGGACCGCGGCGGAGTTGCGGCGGCGGAGACACAGCGAAAGGCTGGTTGGCGAGGCGTTCCTTCTCCTGCTGACGGCGACGCGACCGCACAGAGACCTTCCTCGTCGCGCCGTCCTGGCCGCGGGCCGTCATCTCCGCACTGTCTGGTCCACGGTGGTGCGGCGATGTGCTGCGACGGGCTCCACGCGGCGGGCCAGAAAGTTGGGACGGAACTCGCTGCGGCCTTTATATATTGGATGGAGTTGCTTCGTGCCGAAGCCGAATTCTCTCTCGAACGTACGAGTTTCGGACCAGGCTTGTGCACATGTCCTGGCACGCTGACCGGCGTGCGTGTTCAAGTTTTTCTCGAAAGGAAAGTTTTTTTCTCCGTCGTGCTCATGGTCGCGTCCGCCACAAGCACAACATGCACATGCACATGCACAACATGCACAGCATGCACATGTGCATGTGCATGAACGGGAAAGGCGCTTTCGCTTTAACACACACAAATGGCACACGGCCCTCTCTCTGACTACCTGGACTACCCGCCGCACGGGTCGCTATTGTTGACCAGCACCAGCGGGTGGCATGCAAACGGCCCTCCCAGCTCTCTCCACCGCGCGGCGAGGGAGGTGACGGTGGAGTAGGTCCCGACCACCATCGTCCCCAGCACAAAGGCGACAATCAGTGCGAGGCCGATCCGCTCGCCAAGTGGCAGCCGGGTCGAGGCGGCGCGGCCGAGCCGCGCGAGACGGAGGAGCGACGCCTCCGCCGCCTCGTCGCTCTCTCTCGCGGTCGCGCCGAGGTCGCGGCAGAGGGCGCCGAGGTAGAGGGCGACGGGGAGGAGGAAGTTGATCGGGCCGGAGAGCAGCCCGCCGATGAGCCCCAGCAGCGGCTCGAAGAAGGGGACCTGTGAAAAAAGAAAGACAAACTGGAAAAAGAAATGCGTGGAGGGGCGCCAGCGGCGGCTCGAAGAAGGGGACCGCGTTCGTCACGCCGTATGAGAAGAGCAGCATTGCGAGCGAGAGAGCGGCGTGGCGCGCGTAGCCGCGCGCGTCGCGCGCGTCGGCGGCGGCGGGCGCGAGGCGCCCTACGGGGTGTGGGTGTGGGTCGCTCGCTGCGTGTTAATGCGTGGCGCGGCCGGCACCGCCGTAGAGCAGGGGCGGCGAGGCTGCCGTGTGCGGAGCGCGCGAGCACGACGCTCTTGACCATGTAGACGATGGTCACGTGCAGCAGCAGCAGGCCTACCGGAAGGTGCCCGGAAAGGTCTAGGAGAGGTCTAGGGAAGGTCACGTGCAGCAGCGGCAGGCCCTGCGCGGCGCGGTAGGCCGGGCCGGCGGGCACGCTCTCCACGAGGCTACCTGCGCGGCAACGAGGGGGCGGGGGGGGGGGGGGGTGAGGGTTGAGGCGCTCTCTCCCTCCCCTCGGGGCTGGCGCCGCAAGCGGCGCCGCCTGCGGGCGTCCCTCCGAGGTAGTAGTAGCCTTCCAGGAAAGGTCTAGGGAAGGTCTAGGAAAGGTCTAGGAAAGGTCTAGGGAAGGTCACTGCCTGCGGGCGTCCCTCCGAGGTAGTAGTAGCCGAGGCACGCCACAAGCAAGTAGAGGCCGACCATGATCGGGCCCGAGAGGAGGAAGGCCTTCAGTCATCCAGTCATTGGTTGATACACCAATTCGCATGATCGGGCCCGGGGAGGAGGAAGGCCTTTGGGAAGTCCGCCGGCGCCTCCATCTCCGTCATCATCTCGAAGTACATCCACTGCCCCGCGTAGGCGTACACGAGGTTGGTCGCGCCGCCAAACACTGCGGTGAAGTCGAGGCCCTGGGAGATGGGGAGAGATGGGGAGAGATGGGGAGAGATGGGGAGAGATGGGGAGAGATGGGGAGAGATGGGGAGAGATGTCAAGCAGTGCGGTGAAGTCGAGGCCGTGACGACGGCGCAACGCCCGCAGTGTCACGGGGGCGCGGCTGCGGCTGCGGGTGGGGGTGGGGGTGGGGGTGGAGGTGCGGGTGGGGGTGCGGGCGCGGGTGCGGGCGCGGGTGCGGGTGCGGGCACGGCCACGGGTGGTGGCAGTGCACGCCGGTGCGGGCAAACCAACGAGCAAGGCCCCCTCCTATCCCCCCCCTCCTGCTGGCGCTAGTCGCCATCGCCTGCGCCACCGCGTGCGTCTCGACGCAAGGCGGCCGTCCTCGCGCGGCGAGCTCGCCAAACGCGACCCCGACGCAGAGCAGCACGAGCAGCAGGTTGAAGAAGCAGAGGGCGACCTGCAGGGACATGTCTCGGACATGTCATGGACGTGTCCCGGACATGTCAGCAGGTTGGAGGAGCAGAGCGCGACCGAGTCGCCGAGCCGCCGCAGGCCGACGACGAGAGGCGCGAGCAGGAGCGCGCCGAGCCCAGACGCGGCGGCGAGGCACAGGCGCGCGTCGTAAAAGACGCCCTGCAGGGAGGTGCCGAGGACGAGGAGGTAGGAGGCGTTGCCGAGGAGCGTGTAGCCGTACACGACCACGAAGGTGCCGCCGGCGTACCGCGGCCCAAAGATGCGCCGCGCAGCGCTCCCGAGGCTGTCGATGCCGCGTACGCGGACGTGTGTTCGCGCCATGAGGACACTGACGTACACGGTCACCGGGAAGAGGCCGACGATGAGGAGGACCGTCAGCGCGTACCCGAGCTCGGCGGCGACGGCAGGGAAGGTGAGGACGGATGTGCCGACGATGTCAGACACCATGAGCATGCTCACGCCCCGCCACGAGAGGCGCGGCTTTGCCGGGATCGGCTGCTCGCTCGCGGACATGCGATACGCCGGCTGAACGCTCCGGTGTGCGGCTGCCCTGTCTTGCTGTCGACGAGCGTCCGTGTATGACTACGGAAGAGGAGGGTCGGAACAAGGTTGGGAAAATCCTACCTCCCGCCGCCGCTGAGCCTGTTCGAGCACGGTCGGAGCAGCAGGTCGGATCACGTTTGGGCTGTCCGAGGTTTGGAAAGGGAGCGAGGGGAGCCGGCGAGGCTACTTGTAAAAAGAAACACTGGGGCCATCCCTCCCTTGGGTTGTCTGTTTTCTTTCTTTCTTTCTTTCTGGGTTGTCCCTCCCTTGGGTTGTCTGTTTTCTTTCTTTCTTTTTTTTGTGGTGTCTGTTTTCTTTCTTTTCTTTACTCGGCCAGGACTGGCGCGTTGTAAAAAGAATTTTGGAACAAAAGGCGGTCGCACGACACGATTCACGCGACAGGCGAGGCGCGGGCGACGGCTTCCTCTCGCCCGCACCTCTCGACCCACAAAAACAAAAAGAAAACAGAGCGCGCGAATAAAAAATTACAACAAAACTCCCTCGCACGAATAGAAAACAAGAACACAACGCACTCTCTCACATGACAAGAAAGAATTCTTGCTGTGGACGACATGAAAAGAAAGAAAGAAAACAGACAACCCAAGGGATTTGATCGCCGCCACCACACAGGGATTTTAAGGAGAGGGGTGTGATGCGCTAGCCGTCGCCCACAGGTCATGCAAAATATATCTGAGAAATATTCTTGGGCGTACCGTCGATGTCCCAAAGACAAACCCAAGTAGACCTGCCTGCCAAAGGACTTGTCCTGCTCCGGCCTCCGGGTATCTAAAGAGGCGTCGGACAGCCTCCGACACTTAAGGAAGGTAAGGGGGGGGGGGGGGGGGTCAGCGGAAGCCGAAAGCGCTCGCAAAGAGGAGGAAGCCGAAAGCGCTCGCAAAGAGGACGCGGCGGCGGCCAATGGCCTCCCCCATCATCAGCTCCGTGGGGAGGTCGAGGAGGCGGGCGGGCGGCGGTGTTTCTGGCGAGGGAGCGGCGGTGGCGGCGGAGGCGAGGCGGCGCGAGCGCCGAGGGCGGCGCGGCGCGGGGTGGACATCGCGAGGAAAAGAAAAACATCTTCTCAAGGCGCGAGGGAAAATGGTCGCACATGCGGCTCAACAAGATGGCGTGGCACCCCTTACTCCTCTGAGGTCGGATGAAGGAGGGCCATAAATCTCATCTTCCGTCCCGGATTCGCCTCTCTACAACTCTCGGAGCCGTTCGCAGGTGGCGAAGAGGACGTGGGAAACGCGGAAACACAGAGCCTTGCACCCCTTCGCCCTTCTCATCACTGCCCCGGCGCCCACGCCTCGACCTTCTTGGGCAGCAGCTGGTTCGACAGGTCCTCTCCGTGGCCTAGGCAGGCGTGGCGGCCCTGGCCCCACGTGAAGACAGCACTGTCAGCGGTGAGGGCGAGGCTGTGGCGGACCCCAGCCGAGACAGCGACAATGCACTGGCCAGTAAAGGCCTGGATCTTCTTCGGCAGCAGCTGGCGCTGCTCGTCGCCGTGGCCCAGCTTGCCATCGGCTCCATCGCCCCAGCTCCAGAGGGCGCCGTCGGCGGTGAGGGCGAGACGGTGGTTCTCTCCCGCCGACAATGAGACGACGCGCTGGCCAGTCAAGGCCTCGATCTTCTTCGGCTGCAGCTGGCTCTGCTCGTCGCCGTGGCCCAGCTGGCCAAATAGTCCATCGCCCCAGCTCCAGACGGCACCGTCGGCGGTGATGGCGAGGCTGTGGCTGCATCCCGCCGAGGCAGCGACGACGCGCTGGCCAGCAAAGGCCTCGACCTTCTTGGGCAGCAGCTGGTGCTGCCCGTCGCCGTGGCCGAGCTTGCCGTAGTCTCCATCGCCCCAGCTCCAGACAGCTCCGTCGGCAGTGAGGGCGAGGCTGTAGTTGCCTCCAGCCGAGACAGCGACGACGCGCTGCCCAGCAAAGGCCTCGACCTTCTTGGGCAGCAGCTGGTCCTGCTCGTCGCCGTGGCCCAACCGACCAGAGCCTCCATGGCCCCAGCTCCAGAGGGCGCTGTCAGCGGTGAGGGCAAGGCTGTGGTGCGCCCCAGCCGACACGGCGATGACGCTCTGGCCCGTCAAGGCCTCGACCTTCTCCGGCAGCAGCTGGTTCTGCAGGTCGGCGTGGCCCAGCTGGCCAAAGTATCCATCGCCCCAGCTCCAGACGGCGCCGCCGGCGGTGAGGGCCAGACTGTGCGCACATCCAGCCGACACGCTCACGGCGCGCTCGCCACCCAGCGTCGGGAGGCGGGTCGGCGTGTTGAGCCGCGGCACGCCCTCGCCGTGGCCGAGGAGGCCTGCGGCGTGATCCGGCGCACTGCCGCACGACGAGAGCCGCCCCTCGCCGACGATGAAGAGGCTGTGAGACAGGCCTGCCGCCGCCCTCGCCGGCGGGTTGAATTCGCGCAGCAACGCAGCGAAGCACAGCCACCGCACGGCGCAGCCCTCGCCCTCTGGCTGCGCCGGCAGCTCGAAGCCGCGCTCCTGCGCCCACAAGCGGATGCCCTCCACCGCAAGCGAGGCGTGGAAGAGCAGCGAGACGGCCGCGACGCGAGCGATGTCGAGGGGGTCGTAGCGAGAGATGGCGCGCACGAGGAGCTCCGTGGGGAGGTCGAGGAGGCGGGTGGGCGGCGGCGTGTCTGGCGAGGGAGCGGCGGTGGCGGCGGCGGCGAGGGGGTGGAGCAGTGGCGGGGTGGACATCGCGAGGAAAAGAAAAGGATCTCTCCGCAGTGGACTGCGCAGACACGCTGCGGGGCGGTGGACTTTATGGCACCATGGAGGGTGGTCCGCTGGCAGCCCGACTCCCTGTCATTCCTGCCCCTGTCGGACAAGGTTGTGGGGGGCGGGGAAGAGGCGAAGGACGCGGTGGCAACGCTACAAGCGCTGCACGAACTTGCTGGAGCGGTCCCGGAGGAGGCCGTCCCCGACGGAGCGGTGCCGACCGCCCTCCCCCGGTTCCTACGATTGGTGGGAATGGCGGAGGCGGAGATGGCGGGAGCGTTGCTCGGGATGGAGGGAGGCGCCCTGAGGATGGTGGCCCGAGTGGCCAAGCAGCGGGCGATACAGGTGACGCGCCACTGGCAGATGGTGGGGATCCCTCTCGAGTCGCTCGGGACGGAGCGCTTCCCCACGCTGGCCGCTTGTCATGGGTGCGGCGGTAAGTTTCGCACATTGTTCCACGTGAGGCCGGAGGACGGACCTGCGGCTGCGAAGGTGGCTGAAGAGGTGGTTAGCGCCATCCTGGAACGGATCTCTGAGCGGGTGGAAGGGGAGGCGGAGGAGGGGATGAGAGCGCGCCTGTGCCACGCCATGCAGGGACAGGGGGTGTTTGTGTGCTTTTGTTGTGCAGCCCCTGTGGTCCATGAGAAGAGGAGGCGAGGAGACGGGTTGGCGGCGAGGGGGGGGCAGCCGCCGCAGCGAGCGATCCGAGGATCGAGCGGGGGACCGATAGGCTAGAGAGATCAACGCTGATCGATCAACGTCAGCCGAGACGCCCGAGTGAGTGGCTCACTATACGGCTTTTAGTGTGGTAGTACAAGATAGACTCACATGGTCACAAGTCTTTAGTAAAACGCCAGCACTCGACACGACGAAGGTGTATTGGGCTCGAAGGCGCGGTGAACACAGCCGCCTCGAGCGTACCGCTAAAACACGAGCCGAGGTGGGAGGGGGCGGCGGCGGCGAAGAGGCGGGAGAGCTGGGTCCAGTGCGCTCTGCTGCTGCCCCCCCCCCCCCCCCCCCAAGCAGCAGCGCTCTGCTGCTCCTGGGGGGGGGAGACCCCCCCCTGGGTCAGTGGGCATGCTGGTGGGGCAAAGGTGGCTGGCACGCCACGTGAGCAAAACACACTGTT